AAAAAAAGAGCCAGATTTAGTGATACGAGCAAGGCAAGCACAAAACCTCGGACGGCGGAAAAAAAAATCACAAGGCGAGAAATCGCGTGGGCGTGGATCCCAGTTACAGCCGCGGCTACGTCTAAAACAAACATCTAAAACTCCGAGAAACGCGACTCCTCGCCTTGTTATAGGCACGCCACGATTCTCCCCCCTTATTGTTAGAAGCCCGAGTGGTTTTCATTAAACAGGGTTTCATGCTTAACTGCTTTTATATCCCATTCACAAAAAGAACAGGCTCCGCGGACCACTTCAAGACTGAAGGCTCCGGGACAGCAGGGCAGCGTCCACCTCACTGACGTGCCCAGCGAGCCCGCGCACTAAATCACAGTCAGAAAATACGTGACTATGAAGTGACCCCTTCTTTCTGTCTCTGTTATACACAGCGATACTTCAGTGTCACTTATTATACCAGCGACACTTCAGAAACCCGTGGGTAAGCCCTGCATAACTCAACAAAGACTTTGACGTGATATAGAAATATCACACACACCGAAGGAGTGCCAGGCGTGTGTATATTTTCCTAGTCGCACAAATAACCCCAAAATAATACAATAGGTTGCGTGTGAAATATTTATGCCGTTTCACAAGCGGCACTATTTTTCAGCTGTGCTTAAGGACGAATATTGATTTAGTTTTTCTGCATTCGATTTTTTAAAAATTTCTCAACAATTATTGTCTTCTCAAAGGTTTGGGATTTTCAAGTACTACTGAAATATTCCTTAACTAGTATCTAATATTTTTGTGCGTTTTTTTTAATTTTAAACAGACTTTCAACACGATGCACTTGAATTGTAAGGAAAAAAAATACCATTTTTTTTTTTTGGTCAGAAAGTCAGGCACTGGCTTTTCAAGGGAAGTTTTGCTTTGCTGTTTCAAAGCGACGAAGGCGCTTGGAATCGTCCCGCCTCGCTCGGGGAGCGCTGGTCCGGGACACATCGTGCACGAACCCCGACCCAGCGAGGCGCGCACACGGGCCGGGTACCGCGCCGAGAGCCGGCTGTGCCGCACACGGGGCTCCGCGGTTTCGCTCTCCGGGGTCTCGGCGGGGCTCACCAGCGGCGCCCGGCCACACGCTCCTGCGCCTTTCGCACCTGTGAGAGGTGAACTGGACCGGTCGACACCCCCGACACCCCCGAGCCGCCGTAGATCGGCCTCACGTCCGCGCGGATCTGCCTGCTCGAGCGCTACTTTCAAGTGTCTAAAATTAACTCCCAAAGATGTGTCAAAAATAATATGTGGCTACACGAATTACACAATTCACAAGTCAGCACAATAAAACAGCAAGGCATTTGTGACGGCTCCGTGTTACTAGAAAACCTCACTGCGCTGTCGAGATTTTAATTTAAGAAATGTCCGCGGGAAGAACGCCGTGTTAATTTCAGCTCTTTTTTTGGGGGGTGTAAATGACAGATAACAAATGGCAAACGCGAGAGTTTACCAAAAAGCCACAATTCGGCACGTATAAACTATAACAAATTCACCTAAGACTCCTGGAGCAGCAGGGCGGCCGCGCATCGCGAGGAGCCCCACCTGACAAGTCCTCACGCGCCCGGCCGGTGGCAGGTGAGCGTTGCCCTGGGAAACGGCGCGTGAGGGCGAGCCAGCAGCTTTCTGGGGCCGAACCGGAGCTGCGGACTGTGCAGGAACACGCGGGGCGAAAAGTCGAGCACATTTCCTCTTTTGAAAGGGTGTGCAGCCGAGCAGCGATGGTGTGAAATTTTCTATAATGCAGAACTCCAGTTATTGCAAAGTGCCCGCAGAAAGCAAACGTTCAAAAACCTAATGCACACCCCGTTTCTGGCTTTATATTAAATTTGCAAAAAAAAAAACATTTTACACAGCGAGTAATGTACAGGCGGCCCGCTTAAGAGGATATAACTGTTTACCAGTGATGTTTAAACAAAGGCTTTACACATGATTTACTGTAGGTTTATTTCCTTTGTACCTACACCGGATCCCGCCGGCCCGAGGATTAAACTGGATTTTTTTTTACCAGCGTCTTCACTGTGGTACTGGAGGTGCACGAATTCAAGAAAATTTGTGCACGAACTTAAAATAAGACGGTACCAAAACTCTCATAAATATCGGGAAAAATCTCTGCAGTTGCAGATGAACCCCGCTGGCGCGCTCTGTCGCGAGGACAGGCCAGGTGCCGCGCTCAGGGCGCGAGACTCCGCCGAGCCGCTGACAGAGACCTCGTGCGGCTGTTCAGATGTCCTCGAGGCCGAGTTTGTCACTAGACTCCTAAAATAAATCCGCACAAAAAGCAAACGGACCAAGACTTCCTTTCTGATACAGTCACATATAAAGTTTTTTTTTTTGTTAGCTTTCAATCGATATTTAATTGCAATTATTAAAAATCTAGGTCTGATGACAGATTTCCTTTCATGCAGTCGTTTTCAAAAGATTTGGAAGATAATTCGGTTCAGACGGGTGTAAACGCACTACCTATAAAACCCCTAAATAGAAACACAAAATAAAATTAAAAACGATAAACGCTGCGCCAGGCTCAGTCGCGTGGGCACAAGCTTCATCCCAAAGCGGGAGAGGAGCGCGTGGGCGGGGGTCTCGTGGCCGCAGCTCAGGTGCTCAAGGTGCACGGAAACGTGGCGCGTGCAGGAACCCCGGGAAGTGACAGAATCAGAGGGACACGTGCCCGGCGGGTACCCTTCAAAACAGCGCCCGCGAGCTCGCTCCTCCCTGCGCGCGCCCTGAGGAGGCTCTAGAGCCGGTCGACGCTTCTTCATAGAAAAGCTCGTCCGCTTACACGAGGTTGAATTTATTCTACAATTTAATATTGACGCCATTACTTTCAGCCTGACTATTTTTACGTTTTAGTGTTGACCTTTTTTTTCCACACAGTAAAAAAGAAAGTGACTGTAAGGGAACTGTCAGACAGTGACACGAAGACGGACAAGTGTTTCACTTACAGTCTTCAGTCCGCGGGAAGGCGCGACAGAATGAAACACCCGCCTCCATACTGAAACTGTTTAAGACGGGCTGCCCGACCGGCTGCTGATCTGCTGCCGCGCAGCCTTCGCGACCCTGAGGCGCGTGAGGCTCTCCTGGCAGGGCTCGAGCTCAGGTGTGCGCGAGCCAGGTGTGCCGTCCACGTGGGGCAGCTCGCGGCGCGCCCTGCAGGAGCTGCTGCTTCCGCCTCGCGAGGCGGCGGCGGCGACAGGCGCGATGCTTCTGCTGCATGTGCGCACACGCGGCCAGCCATCAAATCCCCCTTTAAACAGCAGTGTAATTATCTCACGGCATCCTGAACACACGCCTGCATCCTGGGTGGCTTGGTTACCCTTCACAGCCCTAAAAAGGGCCTCTTATTTAGTTTGAGAACCAGCGAGTCACCCTGACTTACTGCTCAGACCAGGGAGGTTCAGACCAGGGTTTGCTAATGCGTTTAAGCAAGGCTGACATCGATTTCACAGAGGACGTCTGCAGCGCTGGTCCCCAGCTGGTGTGTCTGACAGAGGAGTCGGCCCTGTCAGCCGGGCCTGTGCTCCGGCCCCCTCAGCCCCTCCGGCTCGGCTCGGGCTGCCTCGCACGCCCTGCCTCCCAAGACCTCTGGAAACGCAACAGTCCGTTTTCAGTTCAGCTGCTTTCTTTTTTTCTTTCCTTTTGAATGTTTACTGCTTTAAAAAAAAACACTCACGGGCCCCCGCGACTCCGCTCAGTCACGTCCTGAAGATTTGTTTTGGCTAAGAAGCGATCGGGCTTCGCCGTCGCTGTTGTTCAGCGGATTTTCAACCCCCTCGGCAAAGCAGCGTGCTTGGAAAAGGAATTCCGGGAACAAAACGAGCGCTGTCGTGAGCGAGAGGCGGAATGGGCCTGCGCCCCGGAAATCGGGGATTCTCGCCGAGCTCCGGGCCGGGGGGAGACCACCGTTTGTGGCCGTGTCGGACTGGGGCCCCCCGACACGTCACTGTCCTCCCCCTCGCAGACACTTTCCTTCTGAATTCAGAACCAGCGTCTTCGGTTCTCCGAGTAAGAAAGACAGGAACAGTCTGTACGGCCGGAGATGTGGGGTATCAGACCCAGGGCGGACCTGCGAGGAGGGGGCCGGAGGGCAGTCCGGTCAGACCGAGGGGACCCCGCAGGTGGCCCGCGGCCGGCCGCCCGGACAGGGAGTGGACAACGTGAGTAAAACGTAAAGTAAAACGTGGGCCCTGCTGACAGGCCCCCGACGTCCTGGGCCAGTTCAGAACTGCCGGGCCCTGAGCGCGCTCCGTCTCCCCGGCGCTCGGCCAGGCCGCCACGCAAAAAACGCGGTTCATTCGACACAAAGGAGCGGATTTTCTCAATCATTTCGCTTGTTTTTTTACTCCGTAGAGGGAGAAGGGGAGGCTCAGCCCATATTTGTGCTCACTGCTCTGGTCCGAATAAGGAGCTGGTTTCCTCCGCGCAGACAGAACTAGAGAGGTTTCACCTTGACTCACCCACCTGACTTAAGCCGATGTTCAAAAACGAGCTAACACTCATTAGTCTAACGAGAGACTGGTTTTCATCCGAGTTTGGGAAACACAAACTGCCAAGATTCCTCTTTGCTGGAAAAGTGCAGGATTCTTCCTTGGAAATCCAGTACAGCACTGTGTGGGGGGAGGGAGGTTTCGCCCATTTCATGCAAGCGTTCAGTCTAATGTTCATGCAAGCGTTCAGTCTAATGTTCATGCAAGCGTTCAGTAATGCTACTGTGCATTTAAGAGGTCAAATGTATTCACTCACGCAGGTGTCCCCTGTCCTAATCTGAAGTCTGTCTACTGATGTAATTGGCGCCGTTTCTCACAGGCCACGTGCTTGTCTCCCCGGCAGGTGGAGGGCTGAAGACGATGCTGGATGCCATGGAGGCCCCAAGTCATGCTAGACACCTGCTCCTGCAGCTCAACTCGCAGAGGACTAAAGGCTTCCTGTGCGATGTCATCATCGTGGTGCAGAACGCCCTCTTCCGGGCGCACAAGAACATCCTGGCAGCCAGCAGCATCTACCTGAAGTCCCTGGTGGTCCACGACAACCTCATCAACCTGGACCACGAGATGGTGAGCCCGGGCATCTTCCGCATCATCCTGGACTACATCTACACGGGCCGGCTGAGCGACGGGGACCAGGCCTCCGAGCAGAACCTGGGCGCCGTGCTGGCGGCCGCCAGCTACCTGCAGCTGCTGGACCTGGTGGCGCTGTGCAAGAAGAAGCTGAAGCGCAATGGGAAGTACAGCCACATCCGGGCGGCCAGCTTCTCCCCCTACGGCAAGGTGGGGCAGGGGGCCGTGGGGCGGTACCGTGCCTCCACTCCCGTCATCCAGTCCTGCTTCCCCGGGGGGGTCATCAGCCACCCCTCCGCCAGGCCCCACCTGGAGATCTCCCCCGTGGAGTCCCTGCTGCCCCACCCCCTGGCCACCCACACGGGGGAGCTGTACGCCCCCCCCTCTCAGGGCAGCCAGCTCTACCCCCCGCTACAGCCCCCCCCCTCCCAGCCGGGCCTGCGCCCCTCGGAGCGGGGCTGCTCGCCCCTGCACGGGCTGGACCTGTCCAAGAAGAGCCC